CTGCGAGGCGCGAGCCTGTTGCGAGGCGCGAGCCTGCTGCGAGGCGCGAGCCTGCTGCGAGGCGCGAGCCTGCTGCGAGGCGCGAGCCTGCTGCGAGGCGCGAGCCTGCTGCGAGGCGCGAGCCTGCTGCGAGGCGCGAGCCTGCTGCGAGGCGCGAGCCTGCTGCGAGGCGCGAGCCTGCTGCGAGGCGCGAGCCTGCTGCGAGGCGCGAGCCTGCTGCGAGGCGCGAGCCTGCTGCGAGGCGCGAGCCTGCTGCGAGGCGCGAGCCTGCTGCGAGGCGCGAGCCTGCTGCGAGGCGCGAGCCGGCTGCGAGGCGAGCCGGCTGCCCGGCGGCCGAGCCGTAGCAGCAGGAAGAGCCTCGAGGAGCTGGCTTTCGCGTCGCGGCGGCCGGCAGGCAGAGCTCAGCTGGACTTGGCGTTGGTCTAGAGCACCAGCACGTCGTCCAACAAAGCATGGCCCACCGGCCGGCAGGGCGTGTACCGAGCTGAAGCTCCTGCGACCGGTGCCTTCGGCAGCGGCCACGAGCGGCTGCGGCCGCTGAGGAGCTCCAGGTCGGCCACCATGGTGGCCGCCGCCGGAGGCAGCCGCCATGGAGGGACGCCCGCCGTTTCGAATTTCGTGAATTCCAAGATGCGCCCTGGCGCCCACACGCCCCTATCGGCCGCATGGAGCCTCTCACTGCGGTGCGGCGAGAGCCGGACCTATGGAACACGTTGTGCATGGTCAACCGATCTGGGAGCAACCAAACCCGCTTCCGCGCCGTCCTGGACGACGCACTCGTCTATCATCTACGTCTAGGCGATGCGTGCGGTTCGCTCGCAGCCTCGGGAACCTCGAGTGCGCTGGCGGTGCGAGACTTCGACGCAGGATTCCGAGCGTACGAGAGGTGGAACACGCCCGCCGAGCGCGTGCTGATCTTCAGAAACGCCGTCGCAGGGCACGGTGGGCTCATGGCGGACGGGGCATGCTATCCGCTACCACAGTTGAGCTGGGGCGACAAAACCGCGAGCGCGTGCCGGGCGCCCCGACCAGAACGGGCACGGACCAGGAGCGTCGAGCAGCTCGTGTACTTGCACTTGGCCTTTCACTTTGATGCTCCTGGGCACAGCATCTGCCAGCTCTTTCCCGCGCTCGCGCTCGCGCTCACCCATCGGATGCTTCACCGCCCGCTCGCGGGGCGAGGCACGGCGGCCTTCTTGCCTGCCTTCTTGCACACGGACCAGGATGTGCGCGTGGGCTGGTTCCGCGAGTGGGTGCAGCTCGTGGGTGGGCGCGGCATGGAGGCGAGGCTGCTCCACGGCGCCGTCTCTGCCAACCAGGTGCTCGTGCCCATGGGCACCGGCAATGTCCGGGGCGCGCCGCTCGCCTCGACGATGCGCACGACGCGCCAGCTGATCTGGCGCAATCTCGACGACCTGACCCGCCGCCCAGCTCCGATCGGCGGCGACGCGGCGATTGGTCCGCAGGTGGTCCTTGTCACACGGCACAACCAGAGTCGAGCGATCGCGAACGTGGATGTGCTCGTGCGGGCGCTGCACGGCTCGCTCGCGGCTGGCGAGTTGGCAAGGGGGCGGCTGCACCGCTTCGAGGACACACACTCCGCCATCGACCAGTGCGCGCTCTTCCGCGCCGCAGACCTGGTCGTCGCGCCCCACGGCGCCGCGCTCGCCAACTTGCTCTGCGCGCGACCGGGGACCGCTGTCGTGGAGCTGCATGCGCCGGTCTGGCGCCCGCCGGGACGGTCGGAGGCGCAGCCGAACATGGTCTTCCTGCACCTCGCGTGGCAGCTGGACCAGCCGTACTATGGCGTCCACGTGCCCGGGGCGACCTACACGGGTACCATGCACGTCCAAACGGCGAGAGTCGTCCACGCCATCCGCACCCTCGCCTCGAGAGGGTGGCTCCGAGCGGCTCGTCGAGAGCGTCGCGTGGGGCGAGACGCCCGCTGACCCTCGAGAGCCCCGCCACGCGCCCGCTGACCTCCGATGCGATATAGGTAGGTAGGAGAACCTACAGCTACACTGTACAGTGTGAACGTGAGGCCCGTGTCTGGCGAGTGTGAATTCTTAGACCGCGGTCACACGCTGCACGCAACACATACATGACGTTGTGAATATCGAGCAGTGTTTCTGTGAATAAATAAATTAATAAATGGAGGCCCTTTTGTGCGGAGATCAGCAGGAGGATGTACGAAGAGATCAGGGTAGGCTAGAACTGAGCGCCCCACTGTGATTAGAACTGAGCGACGGCAGGACCCTTTGAAATCATAAATGGCGGCGTCTGGAGAGGCCCCCACGGCCGGGGGTGGTAAGTGGGTGATAGGAGGGCCATAAACGACCATCACACCGGCCACCGGACCCCTCCCCCCCCCCAAACACAGTCCAAACCGGCCCCGGCGGCCGGCGGGACGCACGCCGGCGCAGCACCATCAAGCTGCTGTACGGCCTCGGCATCGCCTCTCCTGGCTTAGCTCTCAGTCAAGATATTGTGCACATGGGTGGCCTCTACAATATACTCACTGACACTGAACCTCCAAGAGCTCGTCCCGGTCCGCCACGGCCATCCTCGTCCTCCGCAGCGCCGGCTCCGGCCCCTCCGCCGCACTGTGATGAGCGTCGGCAGGACCCTTTGAAATCATAAATGGCGGCGTCTGGAGAGGCCCCCACGGCCGGGGGCGGTAAGTGGGTGATAGGAGGGTGATAAACGACCATCACACCGGCCACCGGACCCCTCCACCCCCCCAAACACAGTCCAAACCGGCCCCGGCGGCCGCCGTGCAGGAGGCCGCCGGGGCGCACCAAACGGCCCTTCACGGCCGCCACACGGGCCACCACGGCCCGTCCCGGTGGCACGGGTGCCGCCGCGCACCCGCCCGACGCCCCCGGCCCGCCAGCTTCCGCTCTGGGGGGCTTCACCTCCGCCAGCGGGCCGAGCGCGCCGCCTTCTCGCCGCGCTGCGGCCGCACGCCCAAGAAGTGGCCGAAGGGCGACCTACGCGGCACTAAAATCACGACTAGAAGCGCCGCCCGCCAGCAGGCAGCTTGCCCGCCGCGCGCCGCGCGCCGCCGCAGCCCCCGGCCGGCGCTGGAAGGGCTATGCCGGCCGGTAGCCGCCGTCGCGCCGCCCGGCGGCCGCGTGGGCC